CTGTATTCTCTAAGAACAGACTTAAGCGTCCAGACTACCTGTTTGAGAAGGCCTGGCAGATGTGCCAGTTAAGCTTAACTGTCTCCTTTCCCAAATCTTAACTCTAGTTCCAGATTGCCCTTTAACTATCACCAGAGGCATCTAGCTGTACACAGGTTGCCTAGCAACCGAGCACACTTTCCCCCACCCTGCAGAAAAATGATAGATAGCTCAGACAGGTGAGGGTCAAAGGGATAAAAAGGCAGTTTTATTTTCAGAGAGGATAGAACTTAGAGGTATAAGGAGATGGAGAGAAGGTAGAGAACTTGAGGATGGAGAACTGAGAGGGACACACAGGATTTTGACCAGAGAAAACGTGGACGAGACGGAAGATGAGGAAGAGCCAGGTGGGGAAGTACTAGCTGGGTAAGAAGGAGATGAGAAGGACCTAGATGAGGCAGAATTAAGATGAGAGAATTAAGATAGAACTTAGAGGGAACGGTAGATAAAGGTAGAGAGAAATCAGCAAGAAAGGAGCTAGGCACGAGGTCAGAACTGAAGCTGTATAGATAGGATTTTATCCCAGAGAAATAAAAGCAAGTAGACTAAAGAGCTCAGTGTGCTGAGATTCTATTTCCTGAAAATGGTCCTCGCCGTTAGTAGTTCTCGCTCCTTAGCCCCTGGGAAGTATAGTATTAAGGGTGGTCCTAAAATTTTATGCAAGATCATAGATAACAGTTTGTCATAGGGACATGGTAATCATGTTTATATGGCTAGGCTCAGAGCTTCAAACTAATAAGCAGTGATTGAGCTATAGGGAGAAAGTCAAATTTATATCCATCAAATGACAAACTCTCACAGCAATGACAGGACAAGTGTGCAAGAAGGTCTGTAAGGATATGGGAGGCATGCAGAACACACTCCCCACACCACCTAGTTAACGTTCACAGACCCTACCCCAACAACGTTAGCAGAATACATTTTTGAAGAACTCATGGAATGTTTACCAAGAATGACCATATTCCTGGCGATAAGGCAATTTAAATATCACACTTTGAAATAACACATGGATCAAAAAAGAAAGCATAGTGACACATGCCTGTTATCCCACCACTTGAGAAACTAAGGCGGGAGGATCACCGTGAATTTAAGGCCATCTTGGGCTACATAAAAAGACCCTGGCTTTTAAAAAGAGGGACTTAGAAAAATATTTTCACCTGAGTTGAAAACAAAATACAAAAATTTAAAACACCTATGTGCTAAGCTGAACATACAGCAGTCCGGTAATAGAGAAATTTGCTCTGCCTATACACTTCTGGCAGAAACTGAAAATGATTAAATGTCCAAGGCGTCTCTCTTGAACTAAAAAAGGACAAGGAAATGAACCCTGAGGTAAGTAGGATATAACAAAATCAGAATAGAATTCAAAGAAACAACAGAACACCTACATAGAAGCCCAGGACTCCCAACGCTGGTTCTTAAAGATGACCAAAAAATCCACTGCCATTCCAGCTCAGGTGAGTGAAGCAGAGAGGCTAGGTCACCAGGGTCTGCATAGTTGGAAATAACAGTAGTGTATTGTGGGTAGCCTTGTACCAGTCTGTCTGACAGTTCAGGCAAAATAGACAAATCCTTTGGCTCAGTCAGGTGACTTTGACCACCTTTCCTTTGAAACACTGGATCTACCATAAACACCTCACAAGGAAGAAAAGCTCGGAGAAGACTCCTACTTCAGAAGTGCCTCAATGTCAGAAATCAGCATCTTCCCTCACTCCACTCCTGAAAGCCTGGCTTTCCTGGACACATGGGTAGGAGGGTGGCCAGCTGGCCATGGCTTTCCTCTGGATGTGTCTTCCTTTGGTGGTCCCATCATCATGAGTTCCTCAAGTCTGGGGGACTTCCTTGGTGAGAAGTCTATCTTCTTCCTGTCTTGAGTTCAGGATTTTCCTTTTTCACTGTGTAGTTCTTTTTGTTTCTTCTAGTTAGTAATAATAATAATAGTAATAATAATGCATACATATCTGTCTTCAAAAATGGAAAAATTGTAGCCCGTTTTCCACATCTGTGCTTTCCTGGATGACCTTATCTTTTCATTTACTTCCATATTACCTGTTTTCTTTTAAGATAACTACTTGATACCTGGTTCATTTGTTGAAACTTTTGCTCCTTCGACTTATATGATCATTGTATCTCTAGAAGCTCTATTTGCTTCTCTACATCTTCTGACCTGCTCTTTAGTTATATTCCACCTTCCTGATTTTGCATTCTAAACACAAACTTAAGTCATACTATGACTCAATTTCAGTACCTGGAATTTTACATCTAAACAATACTATGGGGGTTGTTGTGGGTACATTTTTCATTTCTTTTTTTACACTCATTCTTGTACTTTCTGTGTTTGGACTTTTAAATTTTTGTTTTTTGACTGGGGTAGTTCTACTTGGTAGCTCAGGATCACTTTGAACTCATGTCAATCCTGTTTGGGCTTCCTGAGTGCTGTGTGTTTGGAGGTTTTTTGTTTTGTTTTTTTGCTTCTATGTTCATATTTTGTTAAACTGTATGAATCCTAAAATCTAAAATGTGAAATGTTGTTGTTATATTCCAGGAAGGACTTGAGGACTTGGCAGGGATCAGCATTGCTTTCAGAATCGTATACACACACACACACACACACACACACACACACACACACACACACACACACACACACACACACCACTGTGGTGAAGCAGAAGCCATAGTGTGAGGATCAGAAACCCAGAGTAAAAGGCTGGGAGGTAATGAGAGGATTCTGGTGGGTGTATTGAGCAGGATGGTAAGTACTCCCGTGTATCTTTCAAAGATATTTTCAGCTGCTCTTAAAGTGACACGAAGGAATGAGAGCATTTAAGAACCTATTGCAATAATGGAAGAAGAGGTGGCAGTGTGGAGATGCAGCATGCAGGAGGAGCCAAGTCCTCTCCTCATGGTGGCTAGGTTTTCCTCTGCTCTTGAGCAGTGGCAGAGGTGCCTCTTCAAGGAAGGGATTAAGCATCTTCTTTAACTACTGAAAACCTGAACACTCTTTTCTCAAGTCAGACGCCAGTGGCTTAGTCATTCGCCTCTCTTTGCCTTTCCCTTGCTATTCATGATTACAAACAGTTCACATTGGATCTGATGATTTGCCCAGCCTGGAAGAAACCTCTCTTCTGAAGGACTTCACAGACACCCCATCCTCTGAGAAAGGACTACATAGGCTAGCCAGCCATGTGCTTATAACAGGAGCAATTAAGAAACATAATTCCATAAGCAAATACAACCTTTCCAAGTCCAAGTGGATGAGTTTATCTTACTGTTTTCTTAAATTTCATCAAATAACTTCCAAGGTCTCGAAAATCCAAAGATGTAAAAAAGGAACTGAGCTCTGTTTGCCAAGCCATGAGGATTAAATAACGACATTCAAAGAGATTTTTGTGCCCTAAGTACTTTTTATTGGTTTTCATAGGCCGTTTAATGTGCAAGATGAGGCAAACAGAGATGGGAATGGTGTCAGCATGGGTTAAGGTGGCAGTTGTGAGGGACTGGCACTGAGAAAACAAGACAAGGTAACCTATCCCAAGAAGAGACCAAGTGGGTCAGTGCCAGGGCTCCCAAGCCCAGGTGCTGTCTGTGATACCAGGGAGTCGCCAGCTGCTGGGCCTATAAAAGTGCATGGTGGCATCCATTCAAATGCTTCCTGAGCTGTTTGATGTTGATGAAATAAATAATGGGTATGAAATTGCTGTATCAGTGACGAACTCTGTAAATGAAAATTATTGTTCTCATGTTTCCATCTTGACCACTAAGTCATAAATCAGTATTCCAGTGATTCCTGAATATGACAAGCTACAGCAGAACAGCCTCACATCCAGAGCTTTACCCGGATTCCAGATGGGGAGAATCCAGTGGGAGTCGCTTACTGCCAGCAGGTTGGAGTAACAGACCAGAGCATGACAGGCCCCCAGGGATATCCTACATAGATAGTTCTCCCTATATAGGTAGGGACCCTTGGGGTCCTCTCCTCTACTTCCTTCCCTACAGGGTTTCTAACCTCTACCACCTCTGGGATAGCTTCTGGGTGCACCCCTCTCCAAAGAGCCTCTGCCTGGTCTAGAATCTCTAAGAACAGGTTTCTAAAGCAGGCCTGTTACAAGTATGCTCTCTCTGTGTTCACTGGTTCCATCCTAGCTCATGGACAGCTTCTACATGTGTTTTCTGCTTTGATTTCTTCTAGTCTGTTTTTATTTTATTTATTCTGGGACTTGAACCCAGGGCCTCATGTACAGTCAGCAGGTGCTCCTCTTCTATGTTTTTTGAGGCAGGGTCTCACTTGGCACAAGTGGACCTTAAACTCACTGTGTAGCTGGCCTGGGTTTGAATGCCTCATCATCCTCATGCCTCCACCTCCCAAGAGCTAGGATTACAATGATGCACCACCATGCCCAGCTATATTCTCATTTTTGAAACTGTTTTCAATGCTGGTTACTAAAGTAACTTTGTTGTTGTCACAAATTTCTTAGTTCAGTCCCAAATCTCCTAGGTAGCAGTACTCAGCAATCCTCAAAAACACCCCTCAAAGAGGCCGAGGCCCAATAAATGGACTTCTAAAATAGCACCTGTAATCCCGAGCATTTACAAGGCGGCAGACCTCCTACAAGGGAGTAAATATGAAAAAGCGCCTGTCGGGAGGGCTCGAGGCCTGTTCAAATGCTAGGTCGGTGGATAGAAGCAATTTCCTCAGAAAGCTGAAGGCACCAAAGGTTAGATTTGTTAGCATTTCAGTGTTTGCCAAATTCAGCTACTGTGAAGACCACGGATTCCCTGTTTCCCAGCGCTTCAAACTTCACCAGCCCCTATCTATGACTTTGGGTAGGGTCACTACTTAGGTCCCCTACCCCTAGCGCGCCGCCCTTCTCCCCGCACCCCCCCCCACTCCCACTGTCAAGTATAGGTACAGCTGCCAGCCTCGAGTTAGATGGGCGGCTGTTTTGAGGTCGAGGTCTCTGCTTTGGCTATGTGCACACTCAGCGCCCTTGGTCAGTGACCCGGGTCTCGCCACCGTGCGTAAGTGGGAGATGACCAATAGCTCTGGACCCTGGTGGGTGAATGCCGCTGTGACAGTGAGAAATGCGGACGCACAGCTTCATCTGATCCCCCTCCTTTGGTGGTGGGTGTTAACGGAACCTATTTGGGAGCTGAGCTTATGGCAGGACCACAATAAAGCTTTAAGAACCTGTACATTAGAATTCCGGCCGTAATTATGAAGCCTGACTGGAAAGAACTGTGACTGCCACCACCCACTGTCGGCACCGAACTCGCAGGCAGCAGCAGCCGGTTCTGGAGCAGGGTGGGCCTTAGGTTCCTCTGCCTACGCAACCTTCAATAAATCAAGGACAGGTGTCTTTGCTTGCGACCCCGCCCCAGTCTAGACTACTGGGACCCCCAGCTCGGAGCGGAAAGGGGACCGAAAAGCTTTCTGTGGAGGGCAACCCTTCGTGACCGCGCCTCCCTCTGTTACTCCTACATTTCCTGCAACCACTGAACTCAGCTGGGGGAACACGCCTGACCGGTAGTCTTAAGCGCCAACTGTGAGACAGAAAAGAGATATTGGTGCAACCCCGCCCCTTCCGCTACCACTCTTGGTCCGTTTGGATTCCGCCCCTTCCTCCGTCCGACCCCGCCTTCTTCCGCCGCGGGCTCTCCATATCCCGGATCCCGACGCTTTTCTGAGCGCAGTCCTATATCGAAGTTCCCGCACGTGGGGGACCTTGAGCGCGATGCCGCGCGCGCCCCGTTGCCCGGCCGTGCGCTCTCTGTTGCGCAGCCAATACCGCGAGGTCCTGCCGCTGGCAATCTTCTTGCGGCGCCTGGGGCTTGAGGGCAGTAAACTTGTACAACCCGGGGACCCAAAGGCCTTCTGCATGTTGGTGGCCCACTGCCTAGTGTGTGTGCCCTGGGGCTCGCAGCCTCCACCTGCTGGCCTTTCCTTCCACCAGGTGGGCCTCCGGGTGGGATCCCTGTGGGTCGGGGGCGGAGAGCCGACAGGACGCGGGACAGCGCTCCTAGCTCACGTGTTAAGTCCTTCTTCTTAACAGGTGTCATCCCTGAAGGAGCTGGTGGCCCGAGTCGTGCAGAGACTCTGCGAGAAAGGCGAGAGGAACGTGCTGGCTTTTGGTTCCGCAGTGCTTAACGGGCCCCAAGGTGGGCCTCCCATGGCCTTCTCAACCAGTGTGCGCAGCTACTCGCCCAACTCGGTGACTGATAGTCTGCGAGTCAGTGGTGCCTGGATGCTTCTGCTGAGCCGAGTGGGCGACGACCTACTGGTCTACCTGCTGGAGAGCTGTGCTCTCTACCTGCTGGTGGCCCCGAGCTGTGCCTATCAGGTGTGCGGCCCACCTCTGTACCAAGTCTGTGCCACTGCGAATACCAGGCTCGCTGTGCCCCTCAGCTACAGGCCCACACGACCAGTGGGTAGGAATTTTACTAATCTTGGATCCACACACTGGGTCAGGAACAGCAGTCACCAGGAAGCATGGAAACCCCTGGTCTTGCCATCTCGAGGTGCGAAATGGCATCTCAGCATCACCGATAAAAGTGTGCCTTCATCTAAGAAGGCCAGGCGTGATCTGGCCCTGAGACTGGAGAAGGGACCTGACAGGCAAGCAGTTCCAACCACATCAGACCCAAGGTCTGCCGAGACCCCCACGGTGCCTACTAGTAGAGCTACCAAGGAAGACTTGTCTTCCAGAGGAAAGGCGCCTGGCCTGAGTCTCTCTGGGTCAGTGTGCTCTAAGCACAAGTCCAGTTCCACATCCCCGCAGTCACCACTATGCCAAGAAGCCTTTCAGCTCAGACCATTTACTGAGACCAAACGCTTCCTCTACTCCAGGGGAGGTGACCGAGAGAGGCTGCACCCCTCGTTTCTACTCAACAACCTCCAGCCAAGCTTGACTGGGGCCAGGAGACTGGTGGAGATCATCTTTCTAGGTGTGAGGCCTGGACCGCTCTGTGGGACACGCCGCCTCTCAAGGCGCTATTGGCAGATGCGGCCCCTATTCCAGCAGCTGCTTGTGAACCATGCAAGGTGCTCATATGTCAAACTCCTCAAGTCACATTGCAGGTTTCGGGCAGCAACCGACCAGGTGGCAGATGCCCTGGACGCCAGCCCATCGCACCTCGTTGATTTGCTCCGCCTACACAACAGTCCCTGGCAGGTATATGGTTTTCTGCGGGCCTGTATCCGAAAGCTGGTGCCTTCAGGTCTCTGGGGTACCAGGCACAACGAGCGCCGCTTCTTTAAGAACGTGAAGCAGTTCATCTCCTTGGGGAAGTATGGCAAGCTCTCACTGCAGGAGCTGATGTGGAAGATGAAAGTAGAGGACTGCCTCTGGCTTCGCAGCAGTCCAGGTGAGCAGGGCTGGTCTCCAGCTGAATGCAGTAGGGGCCCAGAAAAGGGAGATGAAGAATGCCAAGAGCCCAAGCCCTCAGCGGCGCAGTGGCTTTATGCAGTCAATGGTTGGGCAAGTTCCATCTGATTTATCTCTGACTCCAAGCTCCCTCCAGCCCAGTTTGTGCTAACCAAGATTCTTGTCCAAGTCCTGGGGCAGGTTCTCAGTGCTGGGGACACTGTGGTGAACAGATAAGCAGGTGGGGTGCATAGTGGATAGAAATCTAGTGAGAGCTCCTCCAGGTTACTCGTGATCCGACAACAATGTCAGGACAGCCCAGGAACCCATTTGTCCTGGTGGGAAGTGAGGCTCCCGAGGTCTAAGGGCTCTTGGGGTTCACCCAGTGCAGATGTACACTTAAGCTATGATGGTGCAGCTACTCAGTCCAAAAAGGGTAGGGAGGAGGGAGGAGAAATAAATGAAAGACTTCCTACAGTGAAGATCCCTGTCCCATCTTAGGTACGGGAAGGCACCCGAGAAAGGAGAGCCGAGGAGAGCCGAGCCTGCTGCATAAAGGGGGGCTGTTTGTGTTACTTGGGAGGTTGTAGAGCCAAGACTCCTGTGCCCTCCCTTGCCTGGTTTAATGCTGAGGTTGGCCCATCCCAGCAAACCCTCCTGTCATCAACCTGTGCATGTATGGAAGGGACCACACTCCCTATCCTGTTCTCCCCTCTCCCAAACTCCTAGGATATTTACAGCTTATGGGGAAAAGATGGCAGAGCCATGTTTACCCACTGTGGATGGTCCTTGGGAGCTCCAACGAGAGCCTTTAAAAATACATACCTGGCCCTCCCAACTGCAGCACAGAGCCTCTGTGGCCTTTGTAAGTCATCCCGCCTGATGTACACTGTCATTCCTATACAGTTCCGGGCTCCCTGACCCCCAGCTGTCAGTATCTGTTGCCCAGGGTTACTGAGACATCTCTAGAGGAAAGGAGATACACAGCCCCTCACACATTCTAAGGCGGAGATAGCAGCTCTCCTTATTCTGGACACAAGCTGCTGCTTGCTTAGATCAGACCCTGCCCAGATCCAGCCTTATGATTGCTTTTCCAGATGTGTTTGAACACGTCTCTTCTGCTTCAAGAACCCTTTGACCCTCGGTTTCTCTGGACTTTTCTTTAGAACTTTATTCCTGCCTCTTCAGGTTTTTGTTGTTGTTTTCTGTCATTATGGATTGGGTGTTTGACTACACATTTCCTTCTGGATACTGCCTTAGCTGCACCTCGTGCTTCCATGTGTGGTAATTTTGGTATCAGTGGTTTGGAGGCATTTCCCACATTTCACACCTTTTTGGTGTGTTTTGTTGTTGTTGTTGTTGTTGTTGTTGTTGTTGTTGTTGTTTTGATGTATTTATTGCCTGGGATTTTTTTTTAATTCCAAATGTGTGAAATATTTTGAATTTTCCTTTTAAATTGACTTTGAACTCTGGTGTTACAGTTTGTATAATACCAGTTATTTGAAGGTGCTGGAAACGTGCACTTCTGCACAGCCAGTTTTCCTAAGTTCGTGGTATTTCTGAATGCTGAGTCTTTTGTGTTCACTATGTCAGGTATATACAGGAAACATGCACATCCTTCCAAGCCGTGAAATAGGAAGAGAGGTGGATACCTCTGTCTCTGACTGGACAACAATTTCTTCTTGTTCTGGTGGTATTCATATGCAACATTGTTAAGTGTATGTACTAGTTATAAGTTTTTATTTATTTTATTTGTTTGAGACAAGGTCTTACTATCTAGTCCTAGCTGGCCTGTAACTTGTTTGTAGACAAGGCTGACCTTGAACTCACAGAGATCTGCCACACCCAGCTGGAATTTTTATCTTTCTAATTAGAGAATCTTTGATTGCCAGGATAGTATATCTGTAGTGATTTTTTTTTTTTTTTAACGTAAAGTTTTTTTTTCTGAGACATGTTTCCCCTAAGTTGCTCAGGCTGCCCTCAGATTTGCAGCCCTGTTTCCTGCCTCGGCTTCCAGAGAAGCCCGCTTGGTAGCTGGGTTTGTCAGCTGCTCAGACTGACTGAACTGGGCTTGCTTTTGGTGTCCTTGCTGTGTCTCTTTTCTTCCTCCAAGTTTTGCTTTTTTCACATTCTTATAGTTCAGACGGATCTTTTCCACAGCATGCAAGTGAGTTTCTTATATCCTGCCAGGCCAGCCTGACAGTTGTCACGCCGCTGGGAAGCCGAGCTTGCTTACTTCCTTTCTTTCAAGAAGAAATGTGTCTGAATGTGCTGCTTCTGTTATTTCCAGTTTGCTATCACAAGTTCTAAATTTTTTCATGTGTGTAGGGGTTTTGCTTGTGTGTCTGTGTACCTCTTGGATGCCAAGGACCCACGGAAGCCAGAAGAGAGCATTGGATTCCTTGATGGAGTTGCAGATGATTGAGAGCCACCATGTGGATGCTGGGAATCAAACCCAAGTCCTCTGAAAAAGCAGCCAGTGTCTTCACAGCTGAGCCGTTTCTTCAGCCCATTTGCTCTTGATTCTTGCTGCACCCCACCCCACCCCCGTGTCTTGCTGTCTGAGTGATTGTAAAGTGCCTTTCCTTGCTCACGTGTCTTTATTCTGTTTTCACATTTGAGAGAGAAGTTCTGTGCACTGCTCTTTGCCGGTGGTCACCTGACATTTGAGCCTTGATGTGCTGCAACTCTGGTCAGCATTTCCACTAGCTTCCTGTCTCTCTGCTGATTTAGCTCTGCCTTCAGTCTCTCTACTCCCAAGTTAAACATCATTCTTGTTTTTTGAGACCACTGCTTATTTAATTTTAAACTTCTATACCATTTTCTACATTTATTTGTTTTTAATGATTATTTTATGTATATGAGTGTTTTGCCTGAATGTATTTATATGTACCATGCCATCCATGCCTGGTGCTGGAGCAGACCAGATGAGGGTGTCAGATCTCACGGAACTGGAGTTACAGGAGGTTGTGAACTACCATGTGAATGCTGAGAAAAAAATTGAGAACCTCTGCAAGAGCAGCCAGTGCTCTTAACCACTGAGGTATCTCTCCAGCCCCTGAGTCCTTCTTTCTTTGTTCATTTTTTCTTCTGTCTTGTCCCTCCTTCTGGGATTCCCTTTCTCCTGCACAAGTTTCCCTCATGGTCATCACTGCTGGTAAACCCAGCTTTATCTGGATAAAGCAGGCCCCCATAGTATCTGGAGATCTTCAGAGGTCCTCAGAAGGACAGCTATCATAGCCCATGGTGCACTGAACCCACGTGTCTAGAATGACAATAAGAGTAGCTTGTTCTCTGCTTGGCCCTACATGTCTCTGAACTGCACTGCTCAGTGGCAGTGAGTGTGTAGTCTGTGACCCTGTAGAACAGCCTCAGTACCCATTGAAGTTTGCCTGTGCATGTATGTGGAGGCCTGAGGTTGACATCAGGAGTCATCTTTAATCGCCTGGAGTCGCTGATTCAGATAGGATCCATTTGTCTTTGCATCCTTAGCACTGGGATTACAGGCACAAGTCCCCACAGCTAGCTTTTTTAACGTGGGTTCTGATGATAGAACTCGGTTTTCATGCCTCTAGAGCAAGCACTTTGCCAACTGAGCAGTGTCCCTAACCCCTATCTGAAGACATTCTTAGCTTTAGAGTTGGTAGAAGCTAGGGTCTGCAAAGTCAGTCCATCCCAAAAGATTCACTGGATAGTCACAAAGGTGCTAGGTCAGATTCAGAAGTTGGAAGTGAATGGCTGTTGGGGAAGTGAAAGATGGCTCAAGCGTTTCACGCTCAGTCAGCAGCATTTCATCTCTAGTCAATAGGCCTGCCGGATCCCATCACTGACATGGCTTTGTCAGGGAACTCTAGTTTACAACATGCTTTAAAAAAAAAAAAAGCACACACAAAAAAGGTTAAACTAGTTTATTGATATATTTATTATATTTATCTAATATATTTTATTAGAACCCAGCATGTCCAGTCTAACACCTCGTGGGATCATTTTGGGGTCCCATGGCTTCCATGCTGGGGTAAGTCATGGGTGTTGAATATCTACTATTTTCAGGAAAGAACCGTGTCCCAGCTGAAGAGCACCGTATGAGGGAAAGGATCCTGGCTATGTTCCTGTTCTGGCTGATGGACACATACGTGGTAGAGCTGCTTAGGTCATTCTTTTACATCACAGAGACCACATTCCAGAAGAACCAGCTCTTCTTCTACCGTAAGAGTGTGTGGAGCAAGCTGCAGAGCATTGGAGTCAGGTACCACACAAGATCTCTGTTATCCGTGTCTGCTGTTTACATACACAGACTCCAACAGTGTATGGCACCTGCTAGCCTGCCCATGGACCTTCAGGACATAGACTCCATGTAGTCATGGACTGGAGATCCTGCTTTCCTACCTGTAAAATCCTAAGTTGGACCTATACCATCTATAGGATCCCTGGCGTAGGAGAAATTCATACCAAACAGGGCAGAGCAGCTACCTGTTCGGTGCATGGGTCAGATGGGTTCCACCTTATGTTCACCCCTGAAGGAAGTACCTATGAGGAGCCTCCTCAGTGGGAAACCACAAAGGGTCCGCCCTGAGAGCTGGCAGGGGCTCTGAGTGGCTGAGGTTCTTTGCTTATTGAGCTGGGATTTGCTGTCCCAGTGGAAGGTACACAGGCCAAGCTGGGGAGGCAGAGTAGATGGCAGGCAAGGCCTGCACAGAGCAGACTACCATGTTAACCAAGGTTTCTCTGGGTAGCCCTGGCTGTCCTGAAACTAGCTCTGTAGAACAGGCTGGCCTTGAACTCAGAGATACCCCTGCTTCTGCCTCCTGAGGACTGGGATTAAAGGTGTGTGCTGTCACCACCCAGCTCTATGTTTCATGAGGTCCACCCTACCTATGTATTACCTGTGCTTGTGGGATTCTTAGCAGCCGTCACAGGGCTTCCTGAGCGCTTTGGCACACATGACCTGGGGCGGGCAGGGATGCTTTTTGCTTTCACACCTGTATCTAAGCCAGGATATCCATAGAGTGCAGCAGATTGCTTCAAAAGTATCCTGGCCAACTTGACCACCCCAAGAAGGGAATACTGAGGATAGACTATGGGGCCAGATGTCCCAGGTGCCCACACAGCTACGTCACATACCCTGTTCAGACAGTTCTGGGGGTTGCCTAGTTGGTGTGGGTTGCTGTGATCCTGGATGTAGCCCCACAGCGTGGCAAGCTGTCAAATGACCCAAGTTCCTAACCACCCTGAGGGGATGTGTCTCTCGAATTTACCACATGCTCATGTCATAACTCCATGATGCTCTCTGTAACAGGCAACACCTTGAGAGAGTACAGCTGCGGGAGCTGTCGCAAGAGGAGGTCAGGCGGCACCTGGAGGCCTGGCCAGCCAATCCCATCTGCAGACTGCGTTTCATCCCCAAGCCCAATGGTCTCAGGCCCATTGTGAACATGAGTTTTAGCATGGGCACCAGAGCCTTTGGCAAAGAGAAGCAGGTGACTGCACTTGGCTCCTGTACTGTGGTTGAGCCTATGCTCTGACTTACGCAAAAGCTCATGAAGTTCTAAGCCCTGGGTAGACAGAAGAGGGAAGAGGAGGACACGATTGTTCCTGAGTCCAAAAATTCAGCATATGGGAAGGCCCTAGAGATGGGAGATGGTCTCAAGAGCCAGAGGGCTTGGGACATAAACCTTGGAGGTACCTCAGGGATCCCGCCATGTAGGGTAGACACTATATGGCCTCCATGCTAGAGGCCAAAGTAACCATGGAGCAGCTGCCTCCCACAGCTGGATGTCCATAACAACTCTGACCCCTCCCAGTGCCTATGTAAGGTGTGTGGAGTGACTTTGTCCTTAGTAATGCCTCAGAGGACACAGTAAAGCTATTGATGCCTGGAGGACCTTTATGAGTGAAGATGATCCTGAGCCTGACCCCAGCCCAGTGGACATGTCTCCAGAAGGCAGTGCCCTTGGTGGTGGGTGAGAACAGGTTGGGGCAGGTTGGGTGAGTGTCCCAAATGCAGTCAAGTGACTTAGTGGGATAAGTCTTCCAAGACTCTGGGCTACAAGAGTCTATTCTGAGAAATCAGGGTGCTCTGGAACAGTCTGCCAGGTCCCTTTCTAATGTGTCTTCTGTGACCCTGTCCCAGGCCCAGCATTTTAACAAACGTCTCAAGACTCTGTTCATCGTGCTCAACTATGAACGGAAAAAACATCCTAACCTTCTGGGGGCTTCTGTACTGGGCTTGAATGACATCTACAGGACCTGGCGGACATTTGTGCTGCGTGCGCGCGCTCTGGACCCGGCACCCAGGATGTACTTTGTTAAGGTGGTCATTTGGACTCCTGTCCATCACATTTGCTCTCGTGGTCTGGGCTCTAGGGACCTCCTTGGAGCAGCCAACACTGGGTGACCCTATTGTAGGCTCAAGCTGGTGATTGAGAGTGTTGGCCTGCTACCACACGTAGGCCAAAGATGCCGTGGCCTTCCATTCTCTTAGGAGCAGGGGGACCCCATTCTTCTGGGATAACCAGCTCCCAGAATAGCCTTGAGCTCTATATGGGTTCTCTGGACAGTGCACTCCAACTCCTCTGGGATCCACCCTGTAGGAGAATCCCATTGGATGCTGAGTCCCATTCAGAGAAGTAGCCATGCTTGACTCTACCACCAGGGCCTGGATGCTTCAGTATCTTGGTTAGGCAGGGGCCCTTGTAGGCTCTAGGGCTCTGTAAGGAGAATGTAGGCTTTTCTTATCCTAGGGTCCTCAATCTGGGGTAATGGGCTAGAGAGAGGAATGTAGGCTTGCTATGCCCCAGGGTCCTTTGTCTGGAACAGGAAATTTGTGGGATGGGCATGTGTGGCTAGCCTGGTACAGGAGCATGGAGTATCTTTCTTGCATTTTTCTCTATCTCCTGTAGGTTTGCTTAAAAATGGTTGGAACCCAGATACTAAAGACAGAGCCAGCAGGACCTCTGGGCCTGGGCCCAACCATGCTTAGTAGTGTTCACATGTGTTCCACAGGCAGATGTGACTGGGGCATATGATGCCATCCCCCAGGACAAGCTTGTGGAGGTTGTTGCCAATATGATCAGACACTCAGAGAACATGTACTGTATCCGCCAGTATGCAGTGGTCCAAAAAGGTTGCCAAGGCCAAGTCTACAAGTCCTTTAGGAAACAGGTAAGGCCATCGTGGACTTTTATCTATGCTGTGAGCATGTTGGTGGCACAGGCTTCTCATGTCATGACTATCTGGGATCTGTCAGTGACACAGTGAGGCTGTGACAGGTCCACATTTCTGGCATGTTCGTACCAGGGCCTGTCTGTGACTTCGGTGTCCATGGTGCCAGTGATCATTTGTCTGACCCCAGCCTGCCTCCCTCTACAGGACTCCCAATGGAGCGTATATCTGCAGCCATCTGCAATATCTAACCCAATATCTGCAACTATCCTCCCACGCTCTGGGACAGCTTGTTCATTTGCACATCCAATGTCCTTTTCAGTAGGCAGGTGGGGCCTGCAGGTTCAAAGGTGGAGGAATTTGCACAGAGTTCAGGCCTAAGAGAGGTGCAAGGTGACTTCCTTTCCCTGTATGTAGGACACACAAGACTCACAGGCAAACTTTAACTATACATGTGTGATATGTGCAGTGGCCATGTGGCTTCTGCACCAAGGGCATATTCATAATTACTACACCCAGACGATTCCTCCCCCGCTCTGACCAGAGCACCCATCATGGTGCCTCTGTTGAGGCTAGAGGACAATGTGTGGGAATTGGTTTTTTCCATCCACTACGTGGATCTGGGGATTGAACTTAGGTCATTAGGCTTGGTGGTAGGTGTCTTTCCTTGCTGGGCCATCGCACCAACCCCAGGTAAACACCTGAAGTTAAATTTCTCTCTAAGAGCCCTCAAGTAGTACTGTATACACGCTGGCATTTTGCCAGTTCATTATCTGCAGTTCAAAATCTTCATTATTTATTTATTGCAATTTTTGATAGCCTCTTGGTGATTTAGAAGCATGTTACTTAATTACTTTGAAAATGCAGACGTCGTCTATATATCTTGCTATTCTTTTCTAGGTTAATTCTTGTACTTTAACTACTCTGGGTGACTTTACTCCTGGCCCTACAGCAAACCCACTTGGCACATGTTTTTTTTTTTTGTTTGGTTTGGTTTTTTTTGTGCTATTGTAGGTTAATTGTTTTGTTTTATTTTGTTTTTCGAGACAGGGTTTCTTTGTGTAGTTTTGCGCCTTTCCTGGAACTTGCTTTGTAGACCAGGCTGGCCTCGAACTCACAGAGATCCACCTGCCTCTGCCTCCCGAGTGCTGGGATTAAAGGCGTGCGCCACCACCGCCCGGCTCAATATGACATCTTTATATGTGTGTGTAATGCATTTTGACCATACTCACACATGCACCCTAGCATGGGAAATTTTAAGGCTCAAAGCCAATGTTCAGTCTCAACGTAGGAAAGAATGGAGCAGAAGTACTTCGAGAGCATCCAGGGTCACTTAGAGACTCCTGTTCCCGTGGCTGGACGCCTCACACCTGGCACGTTGGAATTGTTCCCGGGATGTCAGTAGATGGTGCTGTATCTCTTCCGTTGACATCCTGTCTGGAGCCGTGGGCCTTGCTGGCCGCTGGATAAAAAGCAGGCATCCTAGAGAGTGTTGCAGGAGATGAAGAAGCCATCCCCTCCCTATTCCTGTCAGCTCTTCTTCCTGTCTGCACGCTGTCTCCGTGGAGAAGTCGGGGTGCTGCTTGTGTCGTGATCATCGGTAACCACAGCTTTATGGGGGCGTCTGACCCGAGGAAAGCCGACTGTGGTGAAACCTGCTGTTCCTGTGGCTCTTCCTGCTGGGGTCCTATATTCGCTCTCTTCCTTACAAGACTCTGTGATGGAGTGGCCCCGCATTGTTCTGTTGTTGAACTGTGCTGTGGCTGTCCTGGCCAGAAAACCGTGTGCCCGCCTGGCTCCTCTCAAGTATTCACCTCTTCTTTGCTGCAGGTCTCCACCCTCTCCGACCTCCAGCCATACATGGACCAGTTCGTGAAGCACCTACAGGGCTCAGATGGCAGTGTGCTGCGAAACTCCATTGTCGTTGAGCAGGTCCTCGGACTTCCCGTTAATGGGCCACCTGGTGGGGCCTATCACCTCTACTGGTCTGTTTGCTTCAGTGCAGAAATGTGACCATCAAGCTCCTTGGTGGAGAGTTCCCATACCAGGGCCACTCTTCCTGGTGGCAGTCCCATGACATGCCCAAGGCCCCCCAATAGCTACTAAGGTGGGCATGCTCTTGCTTTGAAGTGCCCTTTCTACCCTCTTGTTCCCCAAACTCCAGCTGACCCATCAGTGAACTGGTAAAAAGATCTTTTCCCTCGGTTCTGATCTGGAGACCATAGGACAGTTCACCTGCTGTTGGTAGACAAGTTGGATTTGATCTGTGGTCCCCATCTTGATCCATTATGTCAGAGGCAGTGTTTCCCTACACCACACACAGGGGATCTCCTCCCACAAGTCAATGGTTCTACGGAACCTTCTTTGTACATATTCTACCTTTGGGGCAGCCATACTCACTGAGACCTTTGGATGATTTTCTTTTGGCTCACTAGGGTACTGTATGAGCTCCAAGTTTCCAGACCTAGTGCTGTAGGAACATAAAAGGTTACATCACTGCTTTGTAAGTTGCATACCCTGTCACTTTGAGTCAAATTCAACCCGGTCACTTGACTCTGGCCCCACCCCTACTTTACTGTGAACACTTGGTCTTGAGGGGGCATCTGGTGGCAACCTCCTGCAACATTCTGCATCCTCATACTCGTCTGTCTACATGTGTCTGCTTTTCCAGAGCTTCTCTTTGAGCGAGGCCAGCAGCAACCTGTTTGACTTCTTCCTGCACTTTATGCGTAACAATGTCATGAAGATTGGTGGCAAGTAGGCACGGGCATGGGGCAAATGGGCAGAGGGTGGGCAGAGGCTGGGCGGGTACAGGTAGGAAGAGGCCGTCCTGACTGCTAAGCAGGATGCCCGCTAACTGGCCACAGCACTTAGAACTCTATCTGACTGGCTGCCTCTGCCTCATTCCTTCCTCCCCACTCCCCTTTGTAGAATTTTCTTGCCCTTCTGCTGGCTGAGCCACAGGGCTGCCTACCCATGAGGCCTTGTGAGCTCCTGGCTAAGCATGGCCCCAGTGAAGTTAATAATTCTGTATGCCTGGAGCTCCTGTTGTCACTTTGACAAAATGGCAGGGGCACCGCCCCTGTGCAGCCAGGCATGGGATACATGTAGCATCAAGGAAGGAAGTGCAGCACCCATGACTGGGTCCCCCTGAGACTCCATGAGTTACAATCCAGACCAGGTACCCTTTAAAAAGCACTGATGTGGTGAAGGGAGCCCAGACTGGCTCAGTGCTGGATCTGCCTAACAGCCCATCAGCCTGAAAAAGACATGCTTTGTGTGTCTGGATCAGATTTCAGGTTGAGTGTCTGAACATTTGGTTGGACCTTCTGCACCCAAAGTCTCCACCTGGAGAATGGAACTCTGGTTATGCACTTGGCTTCTTTTTGCTGGGCTGGTAGGAGCCCATGATGAGTGCCAATACAGAGCGGAATTCCAGGCTCACACCCAGGCTTCTTAGAGATGAGGTCAGTCAGGGCAAGAAATATCTGATTATCAAAAGTCACATTATGTATTAGGATGTAATTGGAAATGTTAGATATGCGTGCTGGGAGACCGACCACAAGCTACAAGTGTACAGCTGGGTGTATTTTCACAAACACAACTAAGGGTGCTCCTGAGTCCTGATAGTACTGAGCACAGATCTGTGAGTCTGTCCATGTGGTAGTTAACTTAGTCCTCATGTGGGTCAGCCTGATATGCTGAAAAGTCAGATCTGTGTGCACCGTGCCTGGAGAACTTCCTGACAGTTACTCTAGCAGAGGGGATTGAGTCAGTGCAAGGGGTTAAAGGTCAGCTCATACCTACTCTTTCTCATATACGGGTTCCCTGGGTGAGTTTCCTGTCCTGATCATCTGAAGGCACCCACCCCTGCCAGCACCAGCATGCATGTTTGATTGAAGGGTGCCATTATGTTCTCTTCGAAGAAGGCACTAACATTTTCACATGCCTATTACCTGGAATGTTTCTTCACTAATAATCTGTTACTAATTGTACCAGATAAATATTCAGTTCAAGAACCTGATTGCTTATCATTCTTGTTTAAAATCTTAAAATTTAAAATAATAAAAAAAAAAACCCTGGAGTCAGTGAACAGGGATGTAGTCCCCACCACTCCAGGTTGTAGTAAGAGTAGGAAATGGGAGAGATAAGGATGGTACTTAATTTGGTGTTTTTTTGGTGTTGGCAACTGATGGTAGTAGATACTGTTTGTATATGTGGTCTTTGAGCATGTTTACAGATTGGTGTCTATGTATATTCATGTATGTCTGTGTACATATTTATACATGGGGGTTTGTCAAATGTGTGTATGAAGCCCACTGTGGCTGCTGCTTCTGACCATAACCATCCCACCACCCCCAGGTGCTATGTCCAGTGCCAGGGCATCCCCCAGGGCTCCAGCCTGTCCACCCTGCTCTGCAGTCTGTGTTTCGGAGACATGGAGAACAAGCTGTTTGCCGAGGTGCAGCAAGATGGGTAAATGCTTCTTTTTACTGCTCCAAGGGTCCAGGTCATGAGTTGGCATATCTTCATACATTGTTTCTAGCTCACTGAGTGGGTGTGATAGTTGCTTTATGTCCAAGATGTAAAGGCCATTGCCTTCACTTCATGAAAACCTATGAAGGGTCCCAGAGCTATTTCTGTTAGGAACTCAGTAAAACTGTCATTTATCTTCTTTTGAAATATCATTTTGTTTTGTCTTTGCACATTCCGATACTTAAAATGTTTTAGCTTGGATCTCTTATGGGTGAATTCTATGTGAAACCTGTCAACATGTCTCATTTTAGGCTGCTTTTACGTCTTGTTGATGACTTTCTGTTGGTGACACCTCACCTGGACCAGGCGAAATCCTTCCTCAGGTAAGGACCGTCATGCCTGGGTTTCTGCCGTGTGATTGTGATGTATGTATGGCTGAGGCCACACATGTAGTTGGTTTGTGATTTTGTGTCTGGACCTCGTGTTGTCACCAAGACCTAGTGGCATCTCTACTAAGTGTCAGGGGCACCTCGCCTGTGCAGCCAGGCATGGGATACCTGCAGCACCAAGGAAGAGATAGAGCACCCATGGCTGGTCCAGCCTGGTCTCACCGAGGATGCCATGTGCTGAGAGACAACAGGCAGTAACCCCCATGCCTCCCAGCTGAGCCCACAGAAGGGCTGTTTCCAGAGGCCTGAGGCACTAAGCCCTTCTGGGAGATGTGCTGTCCCTAAGCACAGCTGTCTTAGTGAAGAGACACCATGACCACAGCAACTCTTTTTTTTTGTTTGTTTGTTTTTTTGAGACAGGGTCCCTCTGTGTAGCTCTGGAGCCTGTCCTGGAACTCACTTTGTAGCCCAGGCTAGTCTCAAACTCACAGAGATCCTCCTACCTCTGCCTCCCGAGTGCTGGGATTAAAGGCGTGGGCCACCACTGCCCGGCCCACAGCAACTCTTATAAAGGAAAACATTGAATTGAGGCTGGCTCACAATTTCAGAGGTTTGGTCCATTATCATCACAGTGAAAGGCATAGCAGCATGCAGTAAGACATAGTGCTGGAGAGGTAGCTGAGAGTTAGTTCTACATCTTTGACCTGCAGGCAGCAGAAAGTAAACTGGGCCACACTAGGCCTAGCTTGAGCATAGCAGACCTCAAAGCCCGGTTCCAGTGACATGCTTCCTCCAACACGGCCACACCTCCTAATAGTGCCGCTCCCTATGGACCAAACATTCAAACACATGAGTCTGTGGGGGCCACACCTATTCACACCACCACAAGAGCCATTCCTGACAACTTTGAGACGTCACACCACACCATGAAGGAAAGGCACTGGATGAACAGATCCATGGCTCTGTGGAGTAACTTTTCTTTATGGATTGTTAGGAAGAGACCAGAGAATTTGGACTTACCAAACATTGGTGTTTTGAGACATGGCTGTTGCCTCAGGAGTGGTCATCTTTCTTATATAATAATATTCATACTAGTAGGTTATAGTGTGTACTCCAGGCTGTGTTTATAGTATGTATCAGGTCAGGGTTATGGCATATCTGGTTGTAAAGTTAATTTTTGTGGCTTAAGCTAGAATTGGGCATTGCAGACCTGCTTCAGAGCAGGGACCATCGACTAGGTTCTCAGACACTACAGAGTTTGAGGGCTCCCTCGGATCATGTATTATAGAGGAGGCCCCTCAGGCACTGTGGAGTTTGTAGGGTAATTGACAAGAGAGGAAGCACCTGAAAGTGGTTAATTAAGCTGAGCTCTCGGAAGCTGTCACCGTTGGTGTTTCCATTATCCACTGGCCTGTCTGGTGGAAACACTAAACGCTGTCCAGTTCCAAATCTGCCCAGCGGGGCTCTGTGCAGGCTGCCTGTACTTCCTAGCACAGTGTCCTCGAGCCCAAGTAGGCCGTGCATGTCAAGGTCAGTAGAATCAGGTGAGAACAGCCCTGGAGCTGGGACAGAGGACACTGCTGCTGCTGCTGAGAAAATTTCCAGAAGTCAGGGAAGTGGCTCTGGATCAATGTCAGGCCACTAGGTGACAGGACCACTAGGTGAAGCTGTCCATGGACATCTGTAGGAAAGATGTACTGCAAGGAGCTGGCCAGGGCAGCTGCAAGGACTGACTAGAGTCTACAGTACACATGCAGGTAGATGACGTCAAGCGGCCACACCCACGGGACAGGAGCCAGACCACTGCCAGACTGCCACTGAGAGTTCACTGTGAGGAAGGGTACAAATCTGCCTTCGACTCACGGGGAGATCTGACCCACAAACAGTCTGTTAGCATTTCCTGGTAGGGGAAGCAATCCACATCTACAGGGACCTCGAAAGTAGCTACAAGAAAACAGGCTTTTGGGTAAAAGGGAAAGGATGCCTTATTACATGGGTGCTAAGATACGACCGTCAGAGGGTCGTGTGACTTTCCCACTTGTTTGATGCATGGCCATCTTGTTCTGAGCTGGCCCTGTTGCTCTATTGCTTACACAGAAGACAGGCGCTAGGCTGCAGTCCAGAGCAAGCCTGTGCCTGGTGTTCCGTCAGGTACCCACAAGGACCCACTCTCTCTGGTCCCAGAACACCTCTAGGTATTTTTGTAGCATGTGCCGAGTGCTTCCAGGGTCCCATAACCAGTGTTTCCTCCCTTACTCAGGGCCCTGGTCCGTGGCATTCCTGAGTACGGCTGCATGATAAACTTGCAGAAGACAATGGTGAACTTCCCTGTGGACAGTGGTGCCCTGGATGGTGCAGCTCCACACCAGCTGCCTGCTCACTGCCTGTTTCCCTGGTGTGGCTTACTGCTGGACACTCAGACTCTGGAGGTGTTCTGTGACTACTCTAGGTAAGCACATCTCGCTGGATAGCAATCCATGCTGCTTAAGCCCTCGTAAAATGGCTTAGTGTGTGCTTAGACTCTGCACGTATTCACATAAGCTTTGAGTCAGTCAGGCTAGGGCAGCATCTCCAGGAAGTGACACTCGCTTGTATTATGGTCCTTAGAACACCCATTCATTTTTCCTAGTAATTCCACATCTTCGTATCTACCCTGAAAAAACATCAGAGACTACCAAAGATTTTACTTGAGCTTTTACAGTGGCGAGGCCAGTTTGTCTTGCCCTTTGACCTGAGCAGTGGCCCAGAAGACGCTGCAGAGCGCAGGAAGCAGCCTTATTCTGTGTAGAGACCACATTTTCAAACAGTATTGAATGGCAGAAACCCCATTTCATCATCAAAGTGTTCAAAAGCGTGTGTAGAAGTTTGCCTTGAACTGGGGAGGGAACTGGGGTTAAGAGTCCTTGCTGTGCAAGGATGAGGATCTGAGTTCAAATCCCAGGTGAAGAGCCGGTGGTTACATGCACCTGAATCCCTGACACTATGGGTAGAGATGGAGAAGAGTTGGTCATAGGGGCTTGCTGGTTGCCAGTCTAACTCCAGGCTCAGCGTTTCAAGGGAATAATGTGGAGTGTGAAAGAGCAGAACACCCCTTCCTCTGACCTCCATCCACATGCACAGGCATGCACTCGCAATGCATAGAACACCTATACCTGTGTTCATCTTTGAGGATGATGCAAGGTCACTGGGTGACAAGAAGGCACTGCCCCTTACCTTCTGTCCCGCACGTGTCCCATCTCGTAATTTCATGTCTGAAGATAACCAAGAAGCACCCTGCGGTCTGCAGGTGGTTTGACACCGTTGTGGGCATTTCCTTTCTGTTTGCTGCCACTGAGGTCTGGCTGGAGGTAATTTTCTGCTCCACTCACACACAGCCCTGTGCTGGGAAGGTGCTCTGTCAGACTGCAGCCACTTAAGAAGCTTCCTGTATGATTCGTGTTTCTTTCTGAACTGTGAATTTTGACCACTCTTATTTGCCACTGATGAGCAAAGATGTCTGGTGATCCTGAGCCTGGATAAAATGGATATTGTTCACTACATCTGGTTGGGTTTGATTGCCCAGGGGCTTCGGGTGGTGCTGTGAGCACGTGCCAAGAGCTGGAGTGTGTTCCACGTGTGAAGGTCCATCCCTGTGGAAGACCTCAGTGTGTGGCAGAGGGGGGCAAGAGGTGCTAGTCTCTCAGAGGAGGGGTTGGTGTGGGAATCACACAGGTCGGATATCTTTGTGCTGCAGTTACTCCCGGACCTCAATTAAGGCCAGCCTCACCTTCCAGAGTGTCTCCAAGGCTGGGAGGAAAATGCGACAGAAGCTCTTAGCTCTTTTGCGGTTGAAGTGTCATGGTCTGTTTCTAGACTTGCAGGTAAGCAGATGGCAGCCACCTCATCTGTTGATCCTTTGTGCGGGTCCTGTTCTTTGTGCAGGGGCATGTGCATGGATATGTGTATGTGCGGATGGGTGCAACTGTGTGTGGGTGAAGAGCATGTAGACATCTATATGTGTACTGGGGATCCCTGAGCATCCACCCTGCTCATCTCCATCACTTTCCAATACTGTCATCGCTCCCCACAGAGAGGTTCCCTGGATCCTGGCCTTGGCCTTGGGCTCTCAGGCCCTTGCTGCTGAGTTCTCTGTAGCTAGAGTTTTCCTGCCAATGGCCAATCAGTGTTTTAATTATTGACTAATCAGCAACACATTTGACATACAGAACATCCCACAGCACTTCCCCCTTTTTTTTTCAAAAAGGAAGGTTTTAACCTTAACAAAGTAAAATTACATATAATTTGGGAATTTGGGCGTAGCTTCTCTTACTACTTCCTGCTGGAGGGGGACGCTGTATCTTATGGGGAAACAAAGAAAATTTTAGGATTATGGAATAGTCCATGAGGCTGCATCATATGAGCCAGATGCCTTCAAACTGTGCTGGATGTTGGATCATCTGGGCCATGGTATCATCGGAGACCTTTCAGGGGGTCTTGGCTGGTCAAACCTGATGTGTCTTAATCTGGAACAAATCCATAGCCTCTGGCTTTCTGTGGAAACAAAAGCAGAGTCTCCTTTCCAAAGTAACATATCCTTATATCCAAATTTTGAAGTCAAGGTACCTTTAAAATATACATTTTGGCATAACTTAACAGCTTTTACAATCAAATGTTTTTCTGCAGTTAAAAGTCCCAAAGACAACACAATCCAGATTCTCTGTGTAATATCCATTTTTACGTGGCTTATTTTTTATACTACCTTTACTGTCTCTTTAAAGACTTTATTTTTTAAAACTATGTATTTGTTTCTATAACTGTATATATCACCTTTTTTGTCTCTTTCAAGCCTACGTATCTTTTACACACATTGTAAACTATTACATCTGAATCTGTCTTATTGTGAATCTATTGCCTTAAACTACAGCAGCTGTGGCTGCTGGCTCCTCCCACCTCAGCTTCCCAACATGGCTACGTTTACCACCAGCTCTGGGAGCTATCGTGGGTCTATGCTTTTATCCAAGCAGCGTGTAGTCCAGAAACCTTTTTTTTTTGTTTTGTTTTGTTTTGTATTAGCAAAGTCTAAATCCACCATGCAGCTTAATGTGCCACTTGCAGAGGCCTCATTCCTGCCATACAGCATGTTGAGCATGCACACCAGGAACCCACAAGTAGCTCAAACCAGCAGCTGCTGCTCATTTGAGAGAGACAATTAGGAAGCTGTTTTTAGCTCCGTTTTAGAATCTTTTCTCAGTTTTTAGGTGGAAACTCTTGCCACCACGTTGGACGCCATTTGTAGCTAGAGTTTTCCTGCCTGGCCCACAGTCAGGGCAAATCTCTCTCACCTGCCAGTCCCACAGCCGTCAGACCCGACCAAGTAAACACAGAGACTTGTATTGGTTTCAAACTGTATGGCCATGGCAGGCTTCTTGCTGTTCTTTCAGCTTAAATTAATCCATTTTTATAAATCTATACCTTGCCACATGGCTCGTGGCTTACCGGCATCTTCACATGCTGTTTCTCATCGTGGCGGCTGGCAGTGTCTCTCTGACTCAGCCTTCCACTTCCCAGCTTTATTCTCCTCCTTGTCCCGCCTACACTTCCTGCCTAGCCAATGGCCAATCAGTGTTTTAATTATTGACTAATCAGCAACACATTTGACATACAGAACATCCCACAGCAGTTCTCTGTCTAGGAGGGGCCATTGTGGTAGGCTTTGGCCTCTGCTTCTTCCTGCTTCCTCCCCTCTTGATGACACCTGGGGGCCTGGCTGGATTTCTAGGGTCTCCCATACAAGTGTCTTTCTTATCCCATTTGACAACACAGAAAGTGTTGGTTTGTGATCCAAGGGATGTTGCTGATGGTTCTCTTTCTGCTGGGACTCTAGGTGAACAGCCTCCAGACGGTCTGCATCAACGTGTACAAGATCTTCCTGCTTCAGGCCTACAGGTGAGTCGTGGGCTGTGCCACCACTAGAGGGTGGCACAGACCAGAAATGCCAGCCATGCTGTCTGCTGGGGCTTTCACGCCTAAGGTAACGCAAGCTAGCTGCTCCCCTAATTGGGTGGCATGTCGAAGTGGGGTTAGGAAAAAGCAGCATTCAGTTGAGTCTCCACAGAGCTCTGTATCTGTCGGATGAGAACCTCTTCTGGTCTCCCGGTGCTGGAAGTACAGATGACCTCATGTGCTGACCAGAGCTTGCGGCTGGCTGACTTGAGACAGGAGGGGCTGGGGTGGAGACACCCCCCACCCAAGAAAGCACCTCGGAAGGCATAGGATGGGAAAGGAAGCAGAGAATCGGATCTGTCGCTGATGGTGTCTTGCACTGCAGAAGTCGTGACAGGGACATATCCCAAAGCCGCCTGGCCATCGTGGTGTCCCACACATTGCCTTGTGCTGCTGGGACACTCTTGTCCTTGGATGGTCCTGAGACCTGGGGCTGGGATCCGTTCCCAGGTTTCAGGTAGTGAAATATCTCCACCTGAAGTCAGGTTCATTAGGCCAGACCCCATGACACTCATTACACAGTCTCTTACCTGGCTGTAGGAGCACAGCATGACCCTTTCTTCTGAAGTTTCCTGTAGGGATGGGATTGGCTTCCCATGACTCATGAAAGGAGGGCTGCTCCAAAGAGTTGTAACAGAGGCAGACGGTCACACCAACCACAGGCCAGATTTATGCCACTGTGGATCTGGCCTCCTTCTAAGTCCCCACCCTGGTCACTGGAGCTGAGTGTGGGAAGAGCTTGTGCTGTGGAAGACTGGGCACAATTTCAATACCAGGCAATTTACCCTTGCTGTGACGTGAGGTGAGAGTGCATGAGGCACCTGGGAAGAGACTAGTTCTGTGGCAGTACACGTGTATGAAGACATGTGCCATGCACACACAGTATGTGTGTATGTGTGTGCATGTAGTAGTAAGTTCATTTGTGCATGCAATTACATGATTCAAGGCATGTGGTGCCCAATAAATCTGTGTAATTCACATGTATGCCAGACAAGAGCTTGCTTTTGTATACACGCGTGTACACACTTACCAAGGGTCCTTCCCCAACACTGTGACTCCTGCCCAGGTTCCATGCATGTGTGCTTCAGCTCCCCTTTGACCAGCATGTTAGGAAGAACCCCGCATTCTTCCTGGACATCATATTCAGAATAGCATCCTGCTGCTACTCCATCCTGAAGGTCAAGAATGCAGGTGCGTGGATGAAGCAGGGCCAGCATGCTTGTGCAGTGGGTGGGCATCCTGCACTCACTCAGGAGCTAGTCAGCTGTCATTGCTGGGCCTAGGGGCTAGTAGGTCAGAAGGATGCTGAGAACGCCTTGGAGGGCATGAGGGTCTGTGGCCAGCTGGGTCCTTCAGCCTCCATCTGCTTCCCCAGGAATGACACTAAGGATCAAGGGAGCCTCTGGCTCATTTCCTCCTGAAGCTGCTCGTTGGCTCTGCTACCAAGCTTTCTTGCGCAAGCTGGCTGGTCATTCTGTCATCTACAAGCGTCTCCTGGGAACTCTCAGGACAAGTAAGTGAGCTCCCTTCAAATGGCCCCCAAATCTACCCTTGAACACTGAGTTTCTAGGTGAACCCAAAGGCAAACTGTAGATGCCAAGCCCATCTCCATTTGCCTGGGGAGGAGCCCACTCAGGCAGCTCTGGGTGGGTGAAGCTAGGCTTCCAGACCACAGCTTCCTACTTCTGCCTTCCTGCTCCCTCTGTTCTACTTCTTACCTCAAGAAAGGCCCATGGGGTGACACATTTCACTTTCAGGAACCTTCTGATCCCTGCCTGGTCCCTTCACCTCTGCTCTGCTGCTTCCTAGATGCTGGGAGGGATCCTCAGGTTTCTGTAGTGGTGGTAGTGTGTTCCTGGGTGGGGCTCCTGCTCACACCTGGCCCACACATGGCCAGGATTTGACCCAGGTAGGCTAAGGGACTACCTCACCTCTTTGGAATGAAATTTGAGTACATCCTCTGTTGCAGCCCAAAGACAGCTAGGCCGGAAGCTCCCAAGGACGACAATGGCCATCCTTAAGGCTGCAGCTGATCCAGCCCTAAGCACAGACTTTCAGACCATTTTGGACTAACCCTGTCCCCTTTAGCTGGATGAACATGGGCATTGTAGCCCCACCACTCCTAGATCCATGCCACAAGAGGGACCAGCCTGTTGTGGGGCTAGGTTGCCCTCCAAAACCTCTGTGTCATGGGGTGGTAGTATGGAAGTTTGTCCCAGTGCCCTGTTTCCTGTGGTGGGCTTGATTTCCTTCCTGATGCCCTCCAGGAAGCAGATCCCACCCCTTTTAGTGTCAAGGATCCACTAGTCACCAACACCAAAGGAGGTAGAAGACGTATGGGCACTGGGACCATGTGGACAGGTGTGAGATGCCTGGCCCTGGTGTCTTTTCATATCTAACCATGGAGTCTTTTCCAGTGGGGTCAGAGTGTCTCAGAGATGAAGACAGGACTTTGAACCAGTAACCTAAATTACAGCCTAAATATACTCTGAATTCAGGTGACTGAATGTCTTGTTACTTTTGCTGTTGTTGTTGTTATTTTAGTTTTTGCTGTCCTAGAACTCGTTCTCTAGACAATATTTTCCATAAAGGTGCAACAGGGGCATGCATGTCTTGGCAGTAACCAGCAGCTGTCTAATTTGTTTCAAAGCCCACTCAACAGGAGTACTGGAATTTAGCCAACTCTCTGGGGTTAGTGAGGCTATGGGTCTAAGAAGAACTTAATTTGGCCATTTTGCTAAACCAGCATAATTTCTAACTGCTTGCTAAGTATGTATCCTTACACCCATAGATAAGTGTAGTGCTCACCCCTCCCTCATCAAAGAACGTTTGCAACAGATAGGTAACATTACAGAAATCCACAACTAGATGAATGCTGAAAACAAGTGATCATGGAGTACCCAGCCCCAGTGGATTCCTCTACAACACAACCTCTGTTGTAACCTAAGACTTAGGGAACATAATGAATGAGGGGACAGGAAGACTGTAAGAGCCAGAGGACCAAATAAACTGAGATTTTTGTCTCCTAGAAATGGCAGGGTGGCTACACCCATGATACCTCAACATATGGCTACCTAAACAAGAGCTGAACAAAAACATCAATATACACGGTTCTTCCTTGCTCTGGCTCCAGGGTGGAGCAGACAGCCTCAAGCTCTGTTCAGAGTCAAGTTGGAATGTGCAGGTGGGTGGGGAAAATACAGGATAAGGCCATAGGAGTATAATCCAAGGTATGAGCGAGGATATGGGGTATGCTGAAGGGTAGCAATCTCTGGGCGCCTCTGGTGAATCTGGCCTGGGCCTTACCCCTGCTTTTGTGCCATGGGCCCCTACAGTAAGGAGTTTGTAGGAACACCTAGGATGAGTTTGTCCTCAGACAGGCAGCCAGGGCCCTCCTGTCTACTCTGTTGAAGTACCACCTGTCCCTGCAGACCAGCACAGCAGCTCCCTCAAGAGAGAAGTCAGCTCTCAGTAGAGCTAGACAAAAGCCATTCAACAGACAGCCTGAGGCTAACATAGGGAGCAGGAAGACCAGCATAAAGGGCATAGAGATGTAAAGAACAGCTCCCCACCTCCCTGCCCCCAGCTTCCAAATGGACTGACTGAGCTGGATTCACTGAGCTCTTAGTCACAACCAATTAGCTTTGAGCAATTCTGGAAGCTTCTGGGATATCATTGGTGGGACCAGAGAAACTGTACCTTGGACAGGGCTCTCAGCCCCAGCGCTGATGCAGCCTAATTGGCCCCAGCTGGCCTTATGACAGTGCCTTGTTCATCCTGCTGCCTTTTAGTGCATCCAAGTGACTAAGCCGAAGGCATTTACAGCAGAGCCAAGTCCAGGGAGTGGATCATAAATGCACCCAGGCTCCTGGAACTTCCATATGGAGGGTGTATGTTTGGGGATCTTGACAGCCAGCCTGCTGGAACCAACCCAGTCCCAGGGCAGAGGACACTCAGTAACGGGATTAAAATAGGGTTGGGAAATCCCAGGATCCAAGGTCATACATAGCTCAACAGGAGACTAGAAATCTTCCGCCTGGGCTGGGCACACTCAGGCCTCTCCGGTGTGCCAGTAACATCATGTCATCAGCCAATCCACTAGGTGCTAGCATCTTATCTCTAGCCATGTTCATCTAGTTCCAGCTCTCCTCAAGACCACTTGTATTCCTGCCAAATTGTTAAGCCCTCGCTAAAGGTTCATGTCCTAATGGGCCCCAACTCATGAGTTGCTGAGTTCTTTCTTCAGTTACTGTGGAGACTGCCAGGTCCGCCCTGGGGGAAACAAAACCGGCGAAGTTAAAAGGCAATGGGATCTGAGCTGAAACTTATTGGTGTGGTGGTGGTGTGTGTTCCCTTGCAAGTGTAGAACCCCTGTGAGGAAGTCAGGTGTGATGGTGCATGCCTGTAACCCCAGAACTGTCAAGGTGGAGACAAATGTATCCTTGGGGCTCCCTGGATGCCTAACCTGCTTGGTGAGTTCTAGGCCAGTGAGAGACCCTATCTAAAAATCAAATTAAAAATAATTTTTTAAATGGGGATGGCTCCTGAGAAAGGACACTTAAGATCGTTCTCTGACCTCTGCAAACATGCATACAGAATCAGAGAAGAACAGGAATGAGAAGGATTTGAGCATGAGAAAGCAATGTCAATGGAACCAGTCATAAGCTTCCTACAGGATAAGAGTTCCTTCTTGCCCTTCTCTGGACACCCACACACTGGGCTCAATACTCGGTACCTATAATGATGTTCACCTGTGAAGGATATCATAGAACTAAAGGGAGTTCCTAAAACTGGATGGACTGCAGGAACCTAGAGACAGGAGCTGATGCAGAGGCCATGAAGAGTGCTGCTTACTGGCTTGCTCTGACAGCTTTCTCAGTCTGTTTTACTATAGAACCAAGACTATCAGCCCAGGGGTGTCCCCACCCACAATGGAGTGGGTCCTCCCACATCAATCACTAATTAAGAAAATGCCCTACAGGCTTGCCTACAGCCCAGTTGTATGGATGAATTTTCTTTTCTTTTTTTCAGTTTTTCAAGGCAGGGTTTCTCTGTGTAGCCATGGCTGTCCTAGAACTCTCTGTAGCCCAGGCTGGCCCTGGACTCACAGAGATCTACCTGCCTCTGCTTCCTGAGTGCTGGGATTAAAGGTGTGTGTCACCAGCAGCCAGCTGGATGAATTTTCTTAATTGAGGTTACCTTCCCTCAAATGATTTTCACTTGTGTCAAGTTGACATAAGCCGAGCACACTTATGGTAAGCAGAAAAATGACAACAAAGAGGTGTTGGTCCCCAGAAACTGACTACGCTACCTGATCATGAAATGTGGCTATGGTTACAGATGGAGTGAAGATCTGTTGACCTGAAGATATGAATCATCCTGTTTATCTGGGTGGGTCTGAGATCATCACAGGGGTCAGTAAGAGGGAATGCTGAGTAGAATTGGGTTGTAGAAAAACTAAACCAGCCACTGCAGTCTTTGAGCTGGAGGAAAAGGCCAAGTGCAGTAATGAAGGCACTATCAACCAGACTAGCTAAGGACAGGTGCTGCCCAGCACGCCTCAACCATGGCCCAGTGAGACCCGATTCACACTCTGGGCCTCCGAGGCAGTAAGAGTACAGGTATGTTTAGGAATAGCTTCTGATGTTCAGGAATTTGTTATGGAAACAAGTGAGGAGACAAACTCAGGACTTGTTCTCAGGATCTGGGGACCAGTGTGAAGACCTGTGGCAGGAGACACGGACAGGAGTGAAACAAGATTAACATGGGAAAGAAGCCATTTTGCAGAGGAAGTCTGGAGTCCTTCACTTGAACTTTTTCTCAGGAATGGATCATGTTCAGTGATACACAAACTTGGGAGAGCTGTGTGCTCTCCCTTTCATAGCAAGCTGTCTCTCTATTTCCAGCCACATATTCCTGAAGCAATCCTAGAATCAAATACCCACAAATTCAGATCTGCAGTTTGACACCTCTAAACATGCTTTCCCTGATAGTCTGGGCTTTTTCTGTTTCTCTACATCCATACCTAGTTTCAAAGGCATAACTTCTTCACCTCCCCTCCTCTGGCAGCTGCTTGGATTTTCTTCTTGCTTGTATTGTTTTTCCTCTCAAACTTTAATAAAAAATGTCCTCAAGCTGCCTTCTGAGTCTGTTTTTAATTATTTTACTAATGAGACTGAGAACCCAAAGGGAACCCCAGTTTTCCTGACAACAGAACCACTTCTGTAGCCCAGCAGAGCAGGTGCCCACAAAGTTGCACAGGCCCTCTTACCCTTCCTGAATGCCACCTCCCTTACCTCAGCAGGATATAGACACTGATAGGGTGATGAGGGTGATGAGGTGACTGCGGCTCACAAACTCCCAGGTGGCCCAGGCTGCTGGGGGGGGGGTCCTCAAACTGAGGGGTGGGATGCACCTCTTTAGGCTAGACTCTGTTCACCAAGGATGCAGGAAATTGGAGGCACATCTGGGGTTGGTAGAATTTATGTTATATATCCCTGCATGACTGGGATATATCCCTGCAATGATGCCATAAGGAAGGTGACTTCCACGGTCTGCTCTCCTGCAGTTGAAATGCAGCAGGCATGACAGAAAGGACCCAAGTGAAACTTGTTCTCTGTGATAAGACACAGCAGCCTGGGATGGCGTCTGCTTCAGGTAGTCCCCTCAGCAGACTCACTCCCTAGCCACAATGGTGGTGCCTTTCACAATGAGTTCCACCTATTGTAAGAGGGGGCTGCTTCTCATACAGCAAGTTGGCTTGACTGAGCATGTATTCTCAGGATCACCTGGACTACAGAATTAACTTTCACCCTAGAGTGTAGAGGAACACCTCTCCAAGTATAATCTTAACCTTAGTTGTAGGATAGAGCTAGGCGGAAGAAAAATACTGAGAGAAGGGAGGGCTCCTGTGGCTGAGGAAGACATGGACGCTACGTCCATCTCAGAGTTGACAGGCCATTCATAGCAGCTTCATTTCTAAGTTGACACAGTTGCCCTGAGAAGTGGTGTGTTCCTGCAAGTTGTATGTCTTGTGGTCCAGTCTTTGCTGGGCAGGCCTAGCCTATGTTTTTCTCAAGGGCAGGGTCAACTTGAAGGTACCTTGCATGTAGGTATGGTCATGCAGGCTCAGACCACTCACCTTTGCTCTGCAGTCTGGACCCTTGTTCACTTCCTCCTGGATAGTGCTTTGGTAGCCATTCCAAGTTTCAAAGCACTCACCAGAGGCTCCCAACAATCAGTCTGTTTGACAGAGGCTGGTGGGCCTCTGCTGTTTTGGACTGCCCATCTGTCTGTATGTCCACCTACCAACCACTCATTGAACATGCCTCCTGCCATCGTCCCTTCTGTGCAGATATTCTCATAGCTGCATCAAGAATGTGTGCAGAATGGATTGCTCTGAAGACATGAGCACTCAAGCCTTTGTTCTCCGTAGCTAAGCAGGACTCCACGTTCTGGGCTCCAGGATCCAGGGCACACATGCTTTCATTTCAGTTCCTGGCAGAAAGCGTATTCTTCCAAGGTACGGGCAGAGTCCATGCCGCTTTTGTGATGTTCTACACCAAAAATTTTCCCCTAACAATAGGCCCCTACAACACCCTATGTATTTTTAAAACACGATATGGACATAAAATTTGCCTTGTATAAAGATAGGTGACTCTCAACATCCCTGCTTATCAAGAGCATTTATCAATGGCAGAATGGGTGGGCATGGACACTTGTCACAATCCAGGATGCTGGACCAAGGTCAAGATTTTTTTTTTTTTTTTTTTTTTTTTTTTTTTTTTTTTTGGTTTTTTTCGAGACAGGGTTTCTCTGTGTAGCTTTGCGCCTCTCCTGGAACTCACTTGGTAGCCCAGGCTGGCCTCGAACTCACAGAGATCCGCCTGGCTCTGCCTCCCGAGTGCTGGGATTAAAGGCGTGCGCCACCACTGCCCGGCCCAAGGTCAAGATTTAACCCTTGGTAGGCTTGAGCACTTAGGGTTGGGCACCCTGGGATTCATTCCATGTGTGGTGCTCAGCGGATCGGCAGGTGAACAGCCCCAGAAACCTCTGTGTTTACTTTGATCTGAGCTGGCCATGACAAAGATGGCTTCCATTAAGACAGATTTTCACACATAAACCTTTCTTGCTTAAAATGTCAGCACCATGAGCAGCCTATCTGGCACGATCTCCTTCAAGACACCATGGTCTGTTGTGTCTGGGCAGCTACTGACATCATAAAGCCACTAGTTGGTGTAGATGGCTCTATGGGGACTAACCAGAAGTGGGCATCTTTGTCCAGGGCTCCAGGCTTCAAAGATGACCCTGATTTCACAGTGTTGATATAAAGGGCAGAAAACAAGAGGACAAGAGGGAGAGAGGAAGGGGTCTCTGAGCACTGAGGAACTGTGATTCTGAAGTCATGGCTTTGCCTGCAGGCTGCAGAGGACTGGGCAGTAAAGTGTCACAGTGAGTGAACAGATGTGAGTGATAAATGATTATCACTCTCATGAGAGAGTAGAAACTGACTGACCAGTAGCCTTTCTGCTCTTTTTTGACAAGCAAAACTTAGATGCTTAAAAAGCAAAAATGACAATATGTATGGTGAGTCAGTGACACAGTCGGTACCTCCTTGGCTTGTGACCGCCCCACCTCACCCCTGTGACACTGGTCATAGACATGTGATGGAGGTTCTCTAATGGTTTCTGATATGCACTTGCGGGTCTCTTCACAGATGTGGTAACTTGAGGCTGATAGGGGAGGAGGAAGAGGTTTCCTGTCTGTCAGTTTCCTCCCACCGAGCTCAGCTCTCCTTTGAAGACCAGCATTAGGCTTGGATTTCTGGAATTAGTAATGTGGAGACCACTCATAGAAAATGGATTCCACAGTCCTGCCACTGCCAACTACACTCAGGGCTTCCCCACTCAGCATGGATTTCAGGGGGAAGTGGTGTCCACACAGATTGCACCCTGTGGAACCTAGATTTGGAGGAATGGCATCACACAGATGCCCATTGGACAACATGCAGGTACCCTGAACCTATGAGTCTTCCACTATGCTGAATGCTGGGAAAGCAATAATCACGTGGTCTGAGTCAGGGACAGCGTGTAATGAGGCTGGGTCTGAGTAGCACAAGTCTACCTCCCCACCCTGGTCTACCCTGGCTCTGCCCTTCAGCAGCCTCTGCTCTCCTGAGGCTTCAGACCACTTTCCAGGTGTGTATCCTTCCACCTCTGCCTGCGCTGGTACAATAGATGAGCCAGAGCAACTGCTGGGACCCACAGTGAGGGCAGGAAGGACAGGAGCACACAGGTGACCTGCACCCAGCCAGGGTAGAGCTTCTCCTCTCTTGAGGGGAAATGTTCCTGTGGAGACAGAAGGGCATGATCAGATATGTGTCCCAGCAGGGCCTACACCACCCATTTCCAAGTGGAACCAGACTGATCCTTGACCACCACCAAGTTAAGTGAAGTGGCAACTTCACTCCCCACTTCCTGAAACCACAGTGAGCACACAGATTCTGGGGAAAATGAAAGAAGTTTGGTCAGGACTTCCTCTACCCCAGCCCCTCCTGAGGGTGGGAACCATCAAAAGGCCAGCTTTGTACAACTGTCACTCTGGGTCCCCATCTTTCTCCTCTGTGATATGGCAACACCACCCACCCGGCTTGCAGATGCTTCCTGTGTGTTTGCATGAGGAGGTAGAAGGTACATCTAATGGGACAGTTCTCATGAAAACTTTTCAAGTGTACAGCCTCCTTTACAGGTCCCTGCTGCTCTGCTAGGGTCTCTCTTTAGCATGGACTTGGAGAGGATGGCTCTCATGTTAATGAGAGACACAGATGCAGGTGAAGCTCAGAACTATGTATGTGTGCCTCTAAGGACCAGGCAGTGGAGTAAAGGCTAGGAGTTACAGCTGGAAGGGACTAGCCCACCTTAGGAGACAGTGAAAAGCCTGAGGCCATATTGATAGTCATAAGACACCCTCTGTCCATCATTTATCTTGTCATAGATAGAAACTGAGCAGTTTTCTGGATACTTGTCCTGAAGCACCCAGACAGTGAAATGAGGCCATGTCTCTAAGAAAGAGGCCAGTGGGACCTATGATGCACCTAAAGCAATGGCTCTCAATCTTCCTAATGCTGTGACCCTTTAATCTCACGTTGTGGTGACCCCTCCACCATAAATTTTTTCATTGCTACTTCATAGCTGTAAGTTTGCTACTTTTATGAATAGTAATGCAAATAGCTGTGTTTTCCAATGGTCTTGGGTGACCCTGTGAAAAGTCATTTTACCCCAAAAGGTTGTGACCCAAAGGTTGAGAACCACTGCCCTAGAGTCTAGACACCACTGAGATCTACATTCTGCTTACCAAAGCTCCTGACTTGGAATGCCAACATCCTCAGGCCTTATAGATAACCATCTATCTACATACCTAGATCCCCAGTTACCAAAGTGGTCAGACTACACTACCATGTGTAGATCATCTAAGCCACGGGTAGAACCATGGATGCTAGGTCAAGCCTGAGGGATCCCCACAGCCTCATGGGAAGTACATACATATTGTGGGTTCCAGGCTTTGTAGCTGGGTGGCCTCTGGGACAGAAGGATGATGTAGGACAGGACGATGCTGAACAGCAGGGTAGGGCTCACCACCCTCCATGTCACCTGCCAGTAGAGGCTGGGCCGCCGCCCAGTCATCCACTCAATGTCATCACAGAACCTGCAGAAGACACTGGCTCAGGCTCCCTTGTGTGGCCTCATTAGACAGCCCATCCTTTAAAATCAAGAACAGAGGGCACCCTGAGCCCACCCTGGATCTTAGGGTACCATCTCAGAGTTTTCCCCAGGATCCGGACAGCTGTGGGTACAACTGCACCACCAACTCCATTTCTTGCTCTGCCCTGAGATGGGGTATGGGAACGACTTACCGCTTCATCCCATAAACGTAAATGACCCCAACCACCTCCATGAAGGCAAAAATGATCAAATTCAGAGAAGCTGCAAAACTGTCAAAGATCTCCAGCCAATAGTTCCCAGACTGCAGTGTGAAGCAGATGGCCGAGAGGAAACAGACAAAGCAGACCATCCCTGGGGACAAAGGCAAGCAGCGTGAGAGTGCAGTGGAGGACCAGGAGGCCCCGGCAGCAGGCTGTTTAGGTTCCCTTGGCTCCATCCCTTGGTTCCTTTCTCCCCTGTCTCGCTCAGTACTTTGCCAGGCAGCAGGGAGGACCTGCTGGGGATGGGGCAGGGGGAGTCAGCTCTTCCTCTTCCCTTCTCCCACTCCTATCTTCCATCCCCCAATCTTTCCTTCTCGCTATTCCCCAACCCAGGGCCACTGGGGTTTCCCAACCTCTTTAGGTCAGCCTGGCCCAGCCTCCCATAAGACATGGGCCCCAGACCTCTGCTTCCAAATGGATTGTTGAACAGTGGGCAGGATGGACAAAAGGTCAGGGTGGGCAGTGGGGACAGGCCCTCCACCCATCTACTTACCAGTTATGGCTTCTTTAGGGACACCTCTGGGTAAGATCCCCATGTCAAATACTGGTGTGATGACACTCTCCATGTTCCCAAACATGGAGGACAGACCCAGGGTGAACAGCATCCCAAAGAAGAGCACAGACCACACAGAAGCACCTGGCATGTGCAGGACGGCTTCTGTAAAAACGATGAATGCCAGGCCTGGCCCTGAGGCACTCTGCAACACAGAAGCTCTGCTGTGGTCATGTACATAGCACACAACTCATATCATTACACATACACACCCACACCATTACACATGCGCTTCCATCTATAACTTTGCCGGAATATGCTCCACTGTAACATGTACACATCTCACACAGTGACACATGTGCATACACAATGATGTGTGTGCTCACCATAACATATACACAATGCATACCATGACACATGTGCCCTACACAGTGACATGTTTGTGCTTCACACTGTAACACATGCGTACCTTCATTGTGATACATGTGTACCTATACTGTAACATATGCACCCACACCATGATGCATAAATATGCTCACTATGACACATGTGTACTCTACACTATGGTACATACATGCCTCACACCATGACATAGGCATACCGTACACTGTGACATGCCCCACAGCATCACATATGTGCACCCCCACACCCACCATAACATGTGTGTCCCATACTGTGACATGTACACACTTCACACCATGACCTATATACACACCTGCCTTCTGGTGTCAGAAGTGCTACCCTGCCTTTCTGAGAAAACAGGCCACAGACACACTTCTGAGGGAAGAGATCTTTTCTTCTTGAATAAGAAATATCGAGCAGTTAAGCAGGGACTCTATGGCCTTGGGGTCAGGGGCCAGGAACTACTACCCTGAGAATCTTCCCCATGAGTGGTCATCCTTAGCCTGGTGCCTATGGGTCCCCAGCATCCACTGGCCTCTGTGACAAGGCTGTGGCTTCTTCCTCCATGTTCTGTGTCCCAGCAATGTTGTCATACTAAAGTTGTCCTGTCTGCCAGATGCAGATGGACTGAGGTGCTTTTCTGTGGTTCCCAGACTTTTGCCGCTCAGCATTCTCCCTATGTGGCCCTGGTTTTCTAGGAACAGCCCTCCTGTCCTGTCCCTGTGGGTACCTTATCCAGAAAGTCTTCCAGATGGCAGGTCTTCAGGGGGAGTTGGGCCAATCTCTCAGCCTGAGTAGCATTTAGGTACATGAGGACAGCTGGGTACTCATCTCTGGAGATGCTAAGCTCTGGAAAGTCGAACTCATTGATGAGGCTCAAGATGTTTCTGCAGGAGCAGAAAAAGGCTGGTGAGGATGGGGCTGGAAGCTCTACAATGGCCAGCAAGTGTTCCAATGTTTCAGGGAAGTTCTGGAACAAATAGCAGCACCCAGATGAGAACTCCATCCTTTCTAGACCCTATGATGTCCCGTGGATGCCTGTGTCTGGCCAGCATTGGACAGGGGAGGCTGTTTCCACCTGTGAACCAAGACTAGGGGCACCTCTTCTGTGGGCATGAATGAGGAAGAGTCAGATTCCTGCTTCATCAGTGAAGGATTGGGCAGTAAGGAGGTAGCAGACTTTGGCATCAGACACTTGATGCTGCTTTTACAGACACGTAAAATATAGGAGTTATAGGGCAGTTAAGACTTCTGCCCAGAATTCTAAGGAAAGTCTGGGAAGTCAGGCAATGAAATGAGGTAAAAGTTCCTGCAGGCAGCTGCTGAGGAGACAGTGTGGGAAGGTGGGAAGGTGAAACCTAAGTTGCTGTGGACACCTCAAAATGTTGGAGATACCAAGAATGCGGAGTTTCTGCTAAGGAAAGCTGCAGACTACAAGTAGAACTAGTATAAGAGAAAGGTCATATGAGCTACCACTAGCAAGGCTATGGAAGCAGGGCTACCAAAGCCTATTGGAGCTCATACCACTACCATGTGTCCTGTGTACCAGACACAGAGATGCAGGATTTCTCACTAACATGTGTGCTGTGTACCAGACACAGAGATGCAGGATTTCACTTTTTTGTCTTTTCTAGTTTTTGGTCTTGCTTTGGCTTGATCCTTCTTTACTATTCTGCTGATCCTCCCTTTTAAAATGAGAATGTTTCCTGTGCCACTGTATCTTGAAGAGACCTTTCTTTTTGATGTTACAGTTGCTTACAGCTAGGAGTTTGTGTCATTTTCAGAAGAGACTTTGAACTTCGACTTTCAAGCAACATTACAACTATTGAGACTTTGAGGATGCTTGGAGATAGACTGAATGCATTTTTCATTGTGAGATAGCTATGTGTCTTTGGGGGCAGAGGTGGAATGTAATGATTGAAATAGAAAGCATCCCACATATGGTCATGTGTGAAAGCCTGGTCCCACACTGTCAGTGATGTTTTAAAGGTTCTAGAAACTTAAGGAGGAAGTAAGTCACTGGAAGTGTATCCTTGGGAAAACTTATCTCTGGATCCTTTTTTATTTCTTTGATGCCTATTCAAAATGAGTTGAGGAATCCCCACACACTCTTACTGTTCTGATGTTCTTGCAACTCAAGCATATGAGGCCAAGAGAACATGGACTGAACTTTCTAAATGTTAGAATCTAAAACCATGAGCAGAATAAATTCTTTTTGTAAGTTATTTCTGTCAGGTATTTTTGTCACAGCGATGAGAAAAGCAACCAATGTGTGCCTCTTCTAGAACTCAGTGGCCATAGGCATTGCTCAGTAGCATTGTAGCCTCTGTCCTCTATGTCACAGCTGTCT